GGATATTACATCCCCCCACTTTAAGACGGAAGAATAGGAAAGAAAAGAAAAGAATTAAGAAAGAATAATGGGAATGGAAACTCACTTTAGATTCAATGCATAAATTTTCAGGAATATATTTACAAACAAAATTTTCTGAGCATTTACTGTTAGTGAGTAAATGGTTCTCTCCCAGAATGTTTGACGTTTGATACGTCTTTTATGAATTGCCCAAGTGAGCAGAGTTTGGGTCTCTTGTTCTCTCAAAATAAACACATGTAATGATTTAACGTTTTTCTCTATGTATCCATGTATTTCCATTTATTATAAGTTCTTCATTAAAATATAATTCAATAAAATAATCAAGTCATTTTTATATCACAAAACATCAACATTTACCGACATGGTTCTGTCACAAATTGTCGAAAATAAAAATGTCGAATTCAAAATGGTCGAAAATATTTGATCGAAAATAATAAAGTCGAAACGACAAAAACGTCGAACAGACAAAAATGTCGAAAATAAAAAAGTCGAAGATTGAAATGTCGAAAATGGCTTGAGCCCTTATCCCTTAAAATTATCACTAACGAAAAAGACTCAAATATTATTTTTTCATTTCAATTCTGAATAATCACAGATTAAGATGATAAAATTTTATTTTTATTCGAACTATTTGGATTCATATTATTATCAATTCACTTTATATTTTCATTCAAATTTGTTTGTGATTTTGTAAAGTTTCAAAATGATATCTCAGTCTGAAACTGAGTTATTTCCGTTTCCTGTTTTTTGATTCAAAAAATTATTGAAGAGTGGGTGATAAAGATAGATAAGTAAAACTTGGCAAGTTTGTAGATAAGATATTGTTGTATAAGATAATGGTCAAGAATGGGCGTTAAAACGATGGGTGTGTCTAGATATTGCGCCCAAAGTTGTGCTTTTTCCAATGTATTTCTATGGGAAGCTGAATAATTTCATTTTTTATCGAATTTGAAAACAGATAAAATGCTGGATTTTGATCAAGATCTTACTATACTTCATTATAATTATCATCATCGATAAAAATCGAGTTATTTTCGTTTCCGGATTTTTTTTCATATCAACAATCCATTTTTTCATCATGGATAAAATTTAGTTGGATTTTTTTCAACCAGAATTTGATTTCCAGCATCAATATAATTTTGTTTGCATCTCACAATCCATTTTCATCATCGATATGAACCTGATGAATTTTTTTTCAACCGGAATTTGATTTTCATCATCGATATGAACCTGATGAATTTTTTTCAACCAGAATGTGATTTTTCATCATCGATGTTAACCTGATGAATTTTTTTTCAACCCGAATACTCAGTTTCTTCATCGATATGAACCCGATGAATTTTTTTTTCATGGATATTAACCCGATGAATTTTTTTCCATCTCACAATCCATTTTCATGAATAAAATTTAGTTGGATTTTTTTCATATCAACAATCCATTTTAAAATCCAAATTAATTATGAAGAAGAAGAATCAACAAGAACAAGACCAAAAATCAATCACAATCTCATTTTTATTTTCATTTATCTGAACAATTATTACAGAAGTATTGGGTATGGTTTTTGCAAATATTTTTTTTACATTGACAACAAATTGTAGTTGAAAAAAAATTCATTGGGTTAATATCCATGGAAAAAAAATTCACAGACATTTTTGATGATTTGAATCATTGTTTGGTGAAAAAAATAAAATAAAATTCAAGAAAATTAAACAGTAAAATAAAAATTTCAGTTGAATAAAATTTTATCATTTTAATCTGTGATTATCCAGAATTGAAATGAAAAAATAATATTTGAGTCTTTTTCGTTAGTGATAATTTTAAGGGATAAGGGTTCAAGCCATTTTCGACATTTCAATCTTCGACTTTTTTATTTTCGACATTTTTGTCTGTTCGACGTTTTTGTCATTTCGACTTTATTTTCGATCAAATATTTTCGACCATTTTGAATTCGACATTTTTATTTTCGACAATTTGTGACAGAACCGGAAAAAAATATTATTACAATAGTGTATACAGAAAAGAAAGTAGGGTTAGTACTAACCTTTTTACTTTCTTTTCTGTGTAGCACCTGATGGAACACATAGGGAAAAATTTTTTTTTCTTAATTTAATTTTATTATTGTTAATTTTTATTTTTCTACAATTGTAATCATAATTATGATTATTTTTTATATTGATTTTCGGTGGCCATTGCCGCCTTAATAAAGTTTTTAATTAAAAAAAAAAAAAAAGAATCATCATCATCTACGAATAATAATAACCAGGTATCAACAATGAAAAATAGTCCATCTGATAATGATAAACTCATTGATGTTCCAACATTCATCGGCTCAAACGCTTCGGCCGTTGATCAATTTGGAATTCAGTCAGCTTTTATGAATTGAATTGCATTAAATTGAATGAAAATTGAAATATCACAGATGATTGTTCTTGACCCGGCATCAGTAATCAAAATAGGTGTCAACTCAAAATAATAATCCTGAAATGATGAATAATTAGTAAACAATCCAGAAAATCAAATGAAGACATTACCTCATTTAAATCAGCATACGTTCGGTCCAGAATCGTTGATCACAAAATTGGAAAATAGTTCAATTTCACTACATAAATCGAATGTAAACAACAGTATGAGCAAATTGGATGGCCATTTCGACAACAGCAACAATTGAACAAACAAGAAGAAGAAAGAAAAGTGTATCCTATGTTTCAACGTGTTGTGTTATTGATATATATGTTGTATGTATCGATGAAGCCTTTCTTTCCAACTATGGTAACGATTCACTTGATGCAAATGTTGATTATTGATGATGATAAACCAAATGTTGTTCATAAGCTGACAGCATAACATTAGGTTTCGGGACGCGATTGATTGATGGCTTTTGGTGGCTTTATATATTGAAAATTTTGCTTGTCTCGAAGATTCATCAAGTTGTCCTAGCATTTTAACACATAGCTGGTGGTTTATATCGAAGTTGTTGCTATTGCTGACAGACTAAGATTCAATGGATTGATTGTGCTCATATGATCATTATTGCTATCAGGCGTGATGACTATTTGTATCAATTGATGATGGTGCTGCTGTTGCTGCTCACTTGATTCGGTGTTGTTGACAATTTTACTTTAGCCACGACATTACATTGATTATGGTTGATTTGTTTTGATCATCAAATTATTTGAAGCTAAGTATTTTCGAATTATTTCATTTAACTAATTATTATCATCAATTATTTAGCTGTTTGGTGGCGAATTCTGTGATATTATTTTTACCATTCGATTTTGGAGCCATTATCTGTGATACAATAGGCAATTTTCAAATTAATAGGATTATCCAATTTGTCATTTTATCTTCTGTTTTTATGCCAACTGACGTATCCACTATAATGTGATTGACCATTGGTTTTTTTTTTATTTTTAAAAGAAATTTTATTATCAATACGCCAGGATTGGCAATGGCCAACCAATATGTTATCAATTACAATTCATGAAAATCATTAAACAATTCATATCATATAAAAAAGAGAAGAAAAAATAACAAAAATAAAATAATAATAAAGAAAAAAAAGGCATTTTCATGTAAAAATTCCACTTGTTCCGGTATTGATTCAGGTTCCATTTTTTCGAACGGCAATTTGATTGACCATTGGTTAGGTTAGGTTAGGTTATATTTTTATTTTTCTACAATTGTAATCATTATTATGATTATTTTTATATTGATTTTCGGTGGCCATTGCCGCCTTAATAAAGTTTTTAATTAAAAAAAAAAAAAAGAATCATCATCTACGAATAATAATAACCAGGTATCAACAATGGAAAATAGTCCATCTGATAATGATAAACTCATTGATGTTCCAACATTCATCGGCTCAAACGCTTCGGCCGTTGATCAATTTGGAATTCAGTCAGCTTTTTATGAATTGAATTGCATTAAATTGAATGAAAATTGAAATATCACAGATGATTGTTCTTGACCCGGCATCAGTAATCAAAATAGGTGTCAACTCAAAATAATAATCCTGAAATGATGAATAATTAGTAAACAATCCAGAAAATCAAATGAAGACATTACCCTCATTTAAATCAGCATACGTTCGGTCCAGAATCGTTGATCACAAAATTGGAAAATAGTTCACTTTCACTACATAAATCGAATGTAAACAACAGTATGAGCAAATTGGATGGCCAGAGAATAATATCAAAATGAAAACAAAAATCAATTGGTGAAAACGCATTTTACCAAGTCGAAAACACGTGCTCCAAACCATGGATCACGAATGAGTCACAAATTACTCACGCATTCAATGCATGCACAAAAGCAAAATACACCACATCCTTCTCTTCTGAGCGAGAAACAGCTCAGAAGAGGTTCATTCATAAAAAACGCATCACCTTTGCCACTAATGCCATCTATCGGTCTATCATTGAATTACCGAAATTGTTTTGTTTACAATACATCCATGTGCTCAATTTTTGCTCAAATGTTGAATCCAGAAGATACTTGTACCATCTTTAACAGAACCAGGTAAGAAAACAAACCAAACTTAACCAAAAACCTAACCTCATTGATTCATTCGATTCGTTCGATTCCATTGAATGATTCACTCGCGATTGTGTCCAATTACCACTTTCGTTGATCGCATCCTATTCGATGTTATTGTTGTCACTCTCTTTTCCCATTTGGTGTTGTTTATTGCGTCGCAAATTCATCATCGCCAATTCATCATCATCGTCTTTTGTATGTTCAATTTCAATGTTATTCTTCTATTTGATGTGTTTCATTCCATCCCAAATTCATCATCGTCGTTTGTTTGTATTCGATGTTTCGTTCGCATCCATTGACATTGTTTCCCTATTCGGTGTGTTTCATTGCATCCCAAATTCATCTTCATCGTGATCGTTTCATGATCGTTCTCAAATCATGTCCATTCTCATTCTCAAATCATGTTTTTCCGTTTTCGAATCATTTTCGAATCATGAGTCATCATGAGTAATCTACGTCGTAGTCATCTTTTACCATTCGTGTTCGATTGCTAACAGCATCACCACAGCTATCCATCCGATATCCATCCGATGGCTTCCTTTTCTTGTGATAGTAGTTCACCCAATAATTGATCAGATTCTTATTCTAGCAGTCACTCGCATCTCATCCATCTCGTATCTTTGCTTCAATCCAATATCCGTATCCCATCCGAAACTATAAATACCGCAGTTATTTCGAACATTTTGTCATTCACTTTCCTGAGATGTTGGTGTTCACGTCGCTCGTCATCTCATCAAATTTTCGAACACTTCGAATGTTTTGTCATTCGAGTTCCTATCTCCGTTCGTGTTCACGTCGCTCTTCGCTCCATTCTCCAGCCATTCGAACGTTTCATCATCAATGATCGTCTCTCTCTCGTGCACAAAGATTTCACAAAGAAATCAGTTTCAGTGAAGAAGATGAAAAAAAAGATGATGATGCAGATTCAAATGTTAAAATTAAAAAAAAAACATAAAAAAAACATTAAATAAGTTCGAAAAAGAATTTGCTCTCAAAACTGATTTCAAAAAACCACGTTGTTGTGGTTATACAACATTCTATGGTATACTATATCATTGTTCACATTCATCATCTATCTCGATGTATTAAAAATTAAATCTAACTCGATGTATTAAAAATAGAATACTGCAACCGCGACGTTGTAAAACTAGTGCAAAAAAAGTCATAAATCTCAATAAAAAAAAATCAAATATAAATCATTGTTTAAAAATTTTCCAAGTCCAAATCATTTTCAATAAAATTTTCCAAGTCAATGGTGTGCCATCTGTTGCATGAATAATCATTGTTATTTTGTCTGGTTAATTGAGCCATTCACTGTTGACTATTTTCAGTCTTGGTTGACAACAACTCTGTTGATGCCGAATATATCCATACCAGTATCCATCGCATAATGATATCTGATTATTCATGACCATCAATTGTACCATTCCAATGGGCGTCACTACATTGTTGTCATCACTAGTCATCACCTGCATCATTGTTTACCGAAGCGCAGATTGCAAATCGTTGTACGATGCCCGTCCAGATCGACAATCATTCGAGCCGTGTGAATGCAACGAGGACAAGAGCGAAATTCGTTGTGGAATGGGTTTCGGTGCCAATGAACGTCTTGTACTTGTTCCGGAGACAGCCATCCAGTGGTTGTTCACAACAATGACAATCGTTCACGATATCGGTATCACCACCTGACTGTGGAGAATTCATCACTGGAAATGTTGTTAAACAACATGTTTGGCAAATCGAATTCGATGCCATCACCATACGAAACAATTATTATCTTTCTCATCTGCAACCATCGTTGTTCGATTCATCCGCCACCATCAATTCACTGACACTGGATTCGAATCCAAACTTGTTTGCCAACGATAAATCGGTGGTCAACGTGTTCACGATCATTGCCAATCTGATTCATTTGGAAGCATTGGCCATCAACAATTGGGCCTGCCATTCATTTGCGAGCAATGCGTTGGCTTCATTGTCGAAACTAGTGCGTCTGGATCTGCACAACAATCAACTCAAACAAATCGACCCGAACACATTCAGTCGACTTTTTTCGCTTCAAATACTTGATCTGAGCCAGAACATGATCAACAATTTGCTGCCAAATTCGCTCAATTTATCGTCAAGCCAACCTTGCTATGATTCGTATCGTCGTCAGGACATTCACTATTTCATTGATCTCAGTCATAACAACCTGTCAGTGGAATCATTCGCACCAGACACATTCAATTTGAGTTGCTCGGCCAAACTACAGTTGACCAACAATTCCATTGAATTGCTCGACGAGAACGTATTCCGTCCATTGTTTCGTTATTACACAATCATCCAGCTGTACAATAACCCAATAGAATGTCTACACTGCAATCAATCATGGTTGATGAAAGGACGTCATTGTTTGATCACAACAACAACACGACCACCCGATATTACATGGTCATTGATTTTGCATGTCACAACGAAATGTCACTATATCACTTTATAGCCAATTGTCCACAGTATGCCAAACAAATGGATCATCTTGAAGTTGAACCAAAAAGTTCATCGTTGTTCGTTGTCAACAAGTATCTGGACTCGTATCCAGCCGATTTTCGCGAACACGATTCTCAATTGCTTCGTTGTCAATCGGATTTTACTCAATCACCCATAAAACGACCAACAGATCAACGTTACCCGTGTATTGGTCATTATTTTCGCTGCAGCCATAATCATAATGATTGTCATTGTTTACTTGTTGAATCGTCAATGTAAATAAATTGATTGATAATGATAATAATAATCTACTATTCTATGACGCTTGTTTGTCGGTAACTGCAACTTTACACCTCGCCAAGCGCTTGCACTGTGCACTGGCACTGTGTATTAACTCTGGCATTTGATGCGGGAAGCCGAGCTGGACATTCCTAACTATTTTCAGTACAAACATAACTATTTAGTATAAGCTACTCCAGTGTGTGTTGCGTGTGTGTCTGAAGGCATGCGGGAAAACTTTGAATGCCGCTGAACAGTTCGTCCAGCTCAGAGTAGAAGTCGCTTCCAAAGAAACGCATTCTGTGGTATGTAGCTTTGACAAAGCTTTTTCATTGTTCTAGCTCAGCACACTTTGTTGCAGATTTTGCATCCAATAGATGGTGCAGTCATTCAATAGTACATAGAAAGAGTTCGAATTCAGAATTTTCGAATTGATTATTGTGATAATACATGTGGCACGTGATTTTCATTTTGTGTGCCTGTGTGAGTGTGTATTTGATGATAAAATCTTGCCTGAAGACTGCATTCATTGGAATGATTTTTTCTGTGTTTTGTTCCGTGATCTATGATCTACTCATCGTTTGGTAAGTTATTCTCGGTTATTTAACCTGATTATACCTAAAATACCTGATAACTTTTTTCATAACTTTTTCATTTAAAATAAAGAAAATGGAGCATTCGGATTTCGGGTGTTGCTGAAATAGTGGCGAAGGACTCCGGCCGTTGGTACTCTACAGTCTCTGGCGGGACATCACTTCTCGTCATTTTTTCATTGATTGATTCGATTGATTTTTTCATCTCTTTAAGCTGTTCAAAGATGGCAATGTTGCTCATGTTATTGTTGTTGTTGGTTGCACCTGATGAAGATTGTTGACATTCATAATTGGACAATTTGTCCCGTAAATCCTTCACTTCTTTTTGCAAGGCCAGTATTGTATTTAATGCAGCGATGACACGTAATTTGGTGCCGTCTTTAATTGTGCCGTTAACATCCATTAATTCATTTAAAGCCAATTGGGCTGACATGACATCTGTATCTGAGGCATAAGAAAGATTAGAATTATTATCATTACAATTATTATTGATCTTCTCTATCGTTGTGGTGAGATTTCGTTTGTCTTTTCTATTGTCCAGGATTGGTGAGAACTGCATATCGTCGTCGTTGTATGTGGTGGAATGATCATTGGGAATTGGTTGTTGCTTCATTTGACTGTTGGAACCATAAATCAATCGTTTTTCTAGAGATGTTTCAGATGATGAGGATGATGAAGCATTGATGTTTTGCTGTTTGGAACCAGTTTGCAGTTCCGCATTCGGCGACACATCCTTTCGCTTGCCAATGGCCATGATTACGAACCCTGGCCAGACCACGGACACAGGTGTATGGGCCGAATGACGATGATGACGATGGTGATGATGGTTGCACGAATCACACAAATGGATTGGATGGTGATGGGACACACGGTGCAAATGTACTACACGATGCAATGTAATTTTGTCGAACAAAATATAAGTATGCAAAAATTTTCAACACAACATAAAAATATGATGAAGAAAATTCTGCAAGCATTACACTTGCGGTTGCGACTCGGGGTGGATTGGGGTGAGGTTAGGTGGTTAGTTGGGATTGGGTTAAGGTTGGTTGGGTTAGGTTGGGAGTTAGGTTAGGTTGGTTAGGTTGTGTTGGAGTTATTAGGGTTAGGTTGGGTTAGGTTGGGTTGGGCTAGGTTAGGTTAGGTTAGGTTGCTAGGGTTAGGCTGGGTTGGGTTATTGGTTAGGAAATGGGCTGAAGGAAAGGAAAGGTTAAGGTTGGGCAAGTTAGTTGTGTTAGGGTTGGGTTAGGTGGGAGTTGGGTTGAAGTTGGGTTGGGTTGGGTTGGGTTGGGTTGGGTTAGGTCAAGTTAGGTTAGGTAGGTTAGGTTAGGTTGGGTTAGGTTGGGGGGTTGGTTAGGTTAGGGTTATTAGGTTAGGTTTGGTTAGGTTAGGTTAGGTTAGGGTTAGGTTAGGTTAGGTTAGGTTAGGTTGGGTTAGGTTAGGGTAAAGTTGTAGGGCAGAAGCAGTTGTTAGTTAGGTTGGGGTGAAGTTAAGGTTAGGGTGGTTAGGTTAGGGCGGAAGGTTGAAGTAGGCTAGGGTGAAGGAGTAGGAAAGTTGAGGGTTGGAAGTTGAGGTTAAAGGAAGTGAAGGAAGCAGTGAAGTTGTGTTTAGGTTAGAAGAAGTTTAAAGGAAGGTGAAGTTGGGAAGTTGAAGAAAGGTTAAAGCTGAAGAAGGTTGGGTTAGGAAGAAGGTTAGGTTAGGTTAAAGGGTTAGGGTTAGGTTGGTTAGTTAGGTTAGGGTTGGGTTAGGTTAGGTTGGGGAAGGAAGTTAAAGTGAAGTTGAAGTTAGGAAGGGTGGTTAGGGTGGAGGAAGTTAGGGAAGAAGTAGGGTTAGGAAGAAGTAGGGTTGGAGAAAGAAGTAAGCAGGGTTAGTTAGGAAGAAGTTAGGAAGGAGTGTAGGTTAAGTGAGTTAAGTAAGTAGGTTTGAAGGAAGGAAGGAAGCGAAGTTAAGTAGGTTAGGAAGGGTTAAAGCAGTTGAAGAAGCTGGGGGCAGTTGAAGCGTGGGCTGAAGGTGAAGGTTGGAAGGAAGCAGGAAAGTTGGAAGTGAAGTTAGGGTTAGGTTAGGTTAGGTTGGTTAGGGAAGGAAGTGAAGAAAGTTGGAGAAGGAAGCGGAAGCGAAGGGCTGGGAAGTTGGGTTAGGTTAGGGTAAAGTTAAAGGGTTAGGGTTAGGGTTGAGGTTGGGATTGGGTTAAGTAAAGCGGAAGCGTTAGGTTGGGTTAGGTTAGTTTGGTTAGGTTAGGTTAGGTTAGGGTTAGGTTAGGTTAGGTTAGGTTAGGTTAGGTTAGGTTTAGGGTTAGGTTAGGTTAGGTTAGGGTTAGGTTAGGTTAGGTTAGGTAGTGGGTTAGGGTTAGGTTAGCAGCTGAAGAAGAAGTTGCCAGGTTGTGGGGAGGTAAGGCTTAGGGAAGGTTAGTGCTAGAAATAGGGGAAGGTTGGGGGCTAGGCTAGGTTGGGTTGGGAAGTAGTTAGGGGTTGGGTTAGGTTGGGTTAAGCGAAGTTAGGAAAGAAGAAGGGTGGGCCAGGTTGGGCAGGTTGGTTAAGAAAGAAGGTTAGGAAGCTGAAAGCGAAGACAGTTGGGGTAGGTTAGGTTAGGTTGGTTGGGGAGGGTGTTAAAGTTGTTTGATAGCCCGGAAAGCAAAAAGAAATTTGATGATATTGCTACAACAACTGCTGGTTGGAAGTGTGAAGATGAAAGAAAAAGAAATCCAATCGTTTATCTCAAGGGCGTGAGGAAAGACATTCAAAAACGTGATTTGCCTGGTTTGATTACATTTTTCAACATACCAATTGCTGATCATTTGGAAGCCAATCAGATGGATATGGACAATGCAATTGAAGTCTGTTTCGAAAGGCCAAATAAAAATCCACAAAAATTTGCCAATTTCGGTATACGTGTCACACCTGCCATCCGAGACATCATCATCAACCGCTTGCAAGGTCGTGTCAACATTGATTACAATTATGTACATGCCGAAGACATGAATCCACTTCATCGTTGTTACAAATGTCAAGGTTTTAATCATCATCAAAACAATTGTCGAGAAGACAGACCAACTTGTTTACATTGTGGCGGCGATCACTACTATGAACAGTGCCATCTACGAAATGAATTGCCATTCTGCACCAATTGTTTTAAAAATCGAATCACTGATGTTCCATCTCACCGCACCACGGATACCAGATGTCCAGTCTACCAACGAATGTTAAAGCGTGTTGTAAATAGAATTCAATATGTCTAGACACGCCAAAAATTTTCCCGATATTAAAGTTGCTCAATTAAATGTTCATCACTCACCAGCCGCTCTTAATTCATTTCTTGATTATTGCACACACAAGAAAATCGACATCTTAATCATTAGTGAACCGCCCATTCGTAAGGGTGTACCAAACATCAACAAGAAATTTTCACCATTTTATGTCACGCCATCTGATAACAGCAGTCGAGTTCGCTCCTGCATTTGCATTCTCAATCCATCAATTCAGCCTATGATCATTTCACATTTATCGAACCACGATTTTATTGCAATTCAAATTGGGGACATCATCATAACGTCGGCATACGCAACACCATCTTATGACATCACACCAATCCTGCATCGTATTGCCGACGTGTCCAATTATGGGGGGGGTAGGGGGTTAATTATTGCAGGTGATTTTAATGCTTCTCATAAGCACTGGTTCGCTAAATATATCGATAAACGTGGTGAAGAATTGCTTGCCACCTTGCTACAATACAATCTCGACACAATCAACGACTGTGATATTCCAACTTATGATACCATCCGTGCCAATCGCCGGTTAACGTCATACATCGATTTGACCATCGCATCATCCACCATCATAAATCATATTCGCAACTGGCGTGTTGTTGATGATGTAAACATGAGTGACCACCGTGCCATCGTCTTTGATATTGTAAACAAACCGAATCTGATCACTGTATCGTCCACCACGAGATGGAACACCACCAACGTCGACTGGGAGTCTTGGGCAAACTCAATTCAGCAAGGGCTTGATGACCATAATCTCACCCGAAGCTACATCGACACCATCACTGCACCAGACGACATCGATTACACCGTCGCATGTATCACCACTTGCATCAAATCATCATGCGATCAGCATTTTTCCCGGTACGCCCAATGTAGACGGCGTAAAACGCCATGGTATAACGACGAAGAGCTTGTGGATCTCGTTCGCCAACAAAAATCTACATACCGGAAGATGCGGCGGTGTTTTAACCAATCACGATGGATATCATTGAACAACGAGTACCAGCGGCAGAGAACTGCTTACAGAACCCGTCTGGATATTCTGCGTGCCGCCCAGCTCAAACGAGATATCTTTGGCCAAAACGACCAAGACCATTACCAGCGCGTGTGTCGCATGCTGAAGGGCCAAGATATCCTCCCTGCACGTACGTTCATCAATTGTGATAGTCCAGGTAGCACCGTGCAGAATCTGGTAGACGATTTGTTCCCAAGTGATCACCAGGAAACTGACACACCACATCAAGCGGCTGTCCGTTTATCAATACATGATTGGATTTCCCGACATTCCGGCATCAATTCATCATACGAGCCTGTTTCACCGATTGAATTACTAAATAGTATTCAACGGGTTAAAAATGACAAGTCACCAGGTATGGACAACCTTTCGCCAATCATTTGTAAAAAATTCATCGCACATCATCTGGACATAATGGTCGCCATCATCAATTGTTGTTTACGGCTCTCATATGTGCCTTATTTATGGAAAATATCCGTGGTCCGCATCATTCCCAAACCTGGACGTGAATCATATGATAAATCCGGTAGTTACCGGCCCATCGGTTTGTTATCAATTCTGGCCAAAGTACTTGAAACCATCATGGCTAATCGTGTCCGTAAATTTATGCAAAATAATTGCCCGCTTTCTACAAAACAATTTGGGTTCATGAAAAAACGGTCAACTGAACATGCCCTTGTAAAATTAATGGATAACGTTGAATCAAATATTCAAAATAAATATCATGTGGCATTGGTTTCGATGGACATTAAAGGAGCGTTCAATCACGCGTGGCCACCTGGGCTGATAAAACGGTTAATTGGCATGAATCTGCCTGAATATTTGATTAAAATGATTACAAATTACAATGATGATCGGCGAATTGTGACAACATTTGGTGGCGTTACCAGGGTCAAAGAAACAAATTGTGGCACCGTTCAGGGTTCTGTTTTGGGCCCCCTTTTCTGGAATATAATTGTCGATGATCTTCTTCAACGTGATCATGGTCCGAATGTGCATGTCCAAGCCTATGCCGATGACATTGTAGCCGTGGTGGCTGATAAATCAACAAATGGCCTGGCCGAATCAATCAGTTCGCTAATTTCCGTGACCAAATCATGGTGTGATCAAAACAAATTAAAATTGGCCGCCGATAAAACTAGTGTGGTTGTGATGACCAGAAAATTAAAACCACCGACCATTCCACCGATCATTGTTGATAATAACGCGATTGCGTTAAGTGATAAAATGAAAATTTTGGGCATAATCGTCGACAAAAAAATGGATTACCGGCCGCACGTTCATTATATTATTGATAAATCTACAAGGATTTTCCGTCAAATTCTCGGTATGGCTAGATCAAAATACGGTTTGGGATGCAAAGTAATTCGCCAATTGGTTCAATCAATCATCGCGCCGATCCTAATGTATGGTAGTGCCGTATTTTTTGGTGCAATGAAATTCAAAAGTATACAGGATGATATCCGCCGGT